TTAATAGAGCATTGCTATATTCTATCTCTCCTATGTAGATAATTCCATCCGCTCACTCAACCTCCTTCACAGATTCCCATCCTCCTTTATATAGATGCCACCTGGATATCTAGCAATCTTCCACCTGTTTCTCCACCACCACCACCTGGCCTGGATGTCCCATCCTATCTCCTCTTCCAAGGATGCCCTCTCACCTGTGTATTTCCACCAGCATCCACTAGTAGACTGGTGGTGGCCAGCGTGGCCGAGTTGGGAAAGCAAGAGAAGAGGGAGGAGATGAGGTTGGAGACACCGTGTGCCAAGAGCTCCTAGAGGGATACAGTGCGATGAAGAGGGGAGAGGCAAAGGCATGGGGGGAAGTTAGGGTAAAGTGTTGTCTCTTGAATGAGGTTGGGGTCCACAGTCGGAGTCACACCTGGTTGGAGTCAACAGTGTAGCTATACTTGTCTGCATAGATGGAGGCCAGGGAGGCGGACACAGCAAAAGTAACCAATGCGATGGGCAGCGAGTCGGCCAGAATCCTGGGCAGCTCAGCCAGGTTGGGGAGGAGGGGTTGAGGGAATCTGGAGAGGGAGGGGTCCATGGTGAGGGTGGGTTGGGTGCTGCACGGAGTCAGGGAAGGCAGAGAAAATAAGGTGGGCTAGGACAAGAGGAGGTGTTACATGGGAGAGGAGAAAGATGATGTCGTTTGATTCTCTCTTACCCTCCAGGCAACAGCCCCACTATCTGGACATTGTATCTTGTGTCCAGGGAAGAGGTGAAACAGAGCACAGAGGCCAGGAGCACCTGGGAAAGAACAAAAGTAGGGCATGGAAGAAGATGGGGCCCTGGCAGGAGCTAGAAGGGTTCAGGATGAGAGAGGATAGGATCCCAGTGCAGGACCAGGTGGTCTCAGGATCCCGGCACCTGGGGGAACAGGGTGTGTTTGGGATGGGCGCCTGATGACTAACTTAGCAGTGAGGGGATAGGAAAGAGGAATGATGTGTGCCTGGGGCTGGCGAGAGAGCTGGACCCGAGGAAGTTCCAGGGGATACCAAGAGGTGCAATTGAATCATTCTAAGTAGGGGAGCTGGACTATATCTAGAGATACACTGATATCTGTGGAGACACGGAATATTTATTTAGTCTGAAAAGAGAGAAATGGGGGAGGGGTTTGGAAGATATACTGGATCCCAGTGAAGGACCCTGGTGAGGAGAGAGGTGAGAGATGCCATGGCCACACCTCAAGGGAGCGCTGTAGGAAGGAAGCAGGTATTCTGAGAGGTCTAGAGGGGACTCTGTGAGAGAAGTGTAACAGTGTGGATGGGGGATTCTGGAAGGTCAAAGTTCTGGGAGGCGGCCTGGAAAAGTCCATGTGGGAACACGACCTCTCCTCTGTGACTTCGCTGCATTCCACAAGGGGGCGGCAGCGGCCAGTTCCCACAGGGTGGACAGGGTCTGTGCAGGGCAGGGGGCCGACGCACAGGGCCATCCTCTCACCATGACGACTTCCCCCGGGATTGGGGTGGGCAGCCTGTCTCGGAATCTCACGTTCAATTCCTTGACCGGCACAAGCAGCGCCAGGCTGAGCGCCGAGATGGTCAGTTCGGCCGGACTGCTCCGGGGCAGCGCGGTCAGCACGGCGGCCAGCGTCTGCGGGCGGGGGCGGTGAGCAGAGGGCCCTGTGCCCGGTTCACTGCCCCCAGCACGCACCCACCAGACCGAGGCAAGGCCCCCTCTACCGGCTGCCGTCTGGGCTTCCACCTCCGCAGCGCCCTCATTCAGCCACGACGTCCTTCGCCCTCTTCACACGCTGTCCCTCTACCCTTCCGTCCTTCCTTCCTTTTGAAGTTTCCCTCCTCCCCCAACCGCTAGAACCCCCTTCTCCGCAGTTCTCCCACCTTCACCTTGAAGAGAGAAAAGCAGCCGACCTGGCGCGGGAGGGACAACCCCAAAAGGCTGGGCAGCTGGGACACAAGCACGTGCAGCGCGGCCCCGCTGGTCAGCGCCTTGACCACAGGCTCGGACAGAAAGGTGGCCAGGACGCCGAGCTGCAGCGCGAACATTCCGAGCTGCGGGGAGAAGACGCGCAGTCACCAACAGGAGGAGGAGCAGAGCACTGCGCACCAGCTTCCCCGCTCCTCTGCCTGAACCTGAGCACGAAGCCTGCCCCTCCCTCTGTCCCCACCGTCCCCACCCAGGGCCTCCCCGGGTCCTCCCTCACCATTAGCGCCCCGCTCCCGAAGGCCAGAGCTGCTGCCGCTCCAACCCGCTGAGCGTCCAACTGCTCCCTCTCCATGCCGCTCAGGTTCCCCCTGAGGGGTTCGGGCACCAGCCGCTCAACCGCGGAGCCAGTCATGAGGCTGAGTACGGCGAAAGTTCCTGGCGCCAAGGGACAAACGCAGAGATCACCAGCAGTGCGGCCCTCGGGGGTGGGGGGCAGGGTAGACCAAACAGCTCAGGGCAGGATGCTGCTGTCAGACTCCACTCTCCCGGAAGGCTGCTGCCCCCCTGAAGGCGGTGGGGCTACCAGCTGGTACGCGTGGGGAGGGAGGAAAGGAGGGCGCACCAGTGGGCAAAACATTGCCCCCCTCCTCCATACTCTCCAAGTACTGCATGCTCCTTTGGGGGCCCGCGCATCTCTTCTTCCCCTTCCAAGTCCCGGAAGTGTTCATTTTAACCAAATTTCACGGGGGAAAAAAGTCCAAGTAAATTACCACCTCTTTGCACCCACACCAGCGAGCATTGTCTAGTTCAGAGTTCTGTGGCAGGGTTGCACAGGAGGGAGTGGAAAGTGGGAGAGGTGAAGAGGGGAATAAAAGTCAAGAAGCTTTCAAGAAGGGAAGCTACAAACCCTGGCCATTTTCACCCCACAGAGAAGAAGCGGAGTCATTGGAAGCCCCTGGTCACTCACCTGTGGACAGGTGTCTCCCAGTACCCAGCAAGCTGTAGATGAGGACGGGAAAGAAAGAAGTGTAGAGGCCGAAAACTGGGGGAACAGAGGTCAGGAGGGCAAAAGCCATGCCTGGGGAAGAAGTAGAGAAAAGGTCTGCAGTAAGGAGGGGTGTTGCCGGGCCTCCAGGACCTGCCCGCTTCCCGCACTCTCAGCTTAGAGACTGGCAACAGGGATGCTAAATCAAGCCACAAGAGGGAACCGAGGGGTTAATGGGTCTCAGTGGGAGGTCGGGGGGTGGACAAGGTCAAGGATCCTTGCCGTTCTAGTCCTGGGGGGCAAGCGCTGTGCCTCTCTCCAGTTCCCTGAGCCGGAACGTGTTCAAGGCTTTTCACAGGATTGAGCAGATAAGGGGTGGTGGGGGTGGGGAATTGATGGAGCTCCACAGTCCTTACCCCAAACTTGGCCTCAGATACCCCTCTCTTAAACCTCAGCGACACTAACCCACCAATTCTCTCCCAGATTCCTTGCTCCCCACACCTCCTCCCCAAAGCCCTCTAGAGCTCGGGTGCCCGACAGGCTCGTGTTGGGACCTCTCACCTTGGGGCACGTGCACGATGCCCACGGTCACTCCGGCCACCGCATCCCCGAGCAACCAGGCCCGCCAGCTGTAGTGGGGCAGCCAGAGCAGCGGAGGCAGCCGAGCCCGCAGCAGGCGCCACGCCCCCGTCCCGGAACAAGTGCGGGCCCGCAGCCTCCACAGCCTGCACAGCCCGGCCAAGCGGGGCTCTGCCGGGAGCTCCGGCTCCTGCTCTTCACCCGCGAAGAGCTGCTGGAACCGAGCCTCGGTGAGAGGTTCCCTGAGCCTGGCGCCCAGAGGGGACTTAAGGTCGGATGCCTCTCCCGGGCCTAGGCAGGTCCTGGTGCCCAGCAGCGCACTCATTTTGCCCCTGGCCACTTCCAGCTCCGCCCGCCCTTAAATACTCTTAGTCCCTCAGCCCTGAGTCCCGCCTCCCATGAAGCAGAGGCCAACCCGACCCTGTAGGGCTCCCTCTCTGGGGGACCTTCTGGGGTCAGGCAGAGGTGCGGCTTAGGGAGGCAGTCTCTATGTTAGGCATTTCCTCATACATCTTTGGCCGGATCGGATCGCTGGCTCTGGGCCCGCTATGAGGGGTGGCTGTGAAAAGGTGTGGAGATCAGAGAGAGAGGCCGCAAGACAAGTGTACCGAAGCACCCGACACTCACTATTTACCACTCTTTGGCCTTTTCACGTCACTAGCAGTTCTTTCCCCCATCTGCACTTCGGACAGAGACAGAGGGTGGTTCCGGGCACTGGTCTTTCCCAGAGCCACTGCGTTCTCCCAGCTGGAGCAAGAAAGTTCAGCGCCCATTCTGAATCCCATCCCAGATCCAAATCTTCATGAGGCATAGTTTGCCCCAAGAAAGTTAAGGGGAGCGATTGGCCTCAGCAGTTTCACAAATTACTGAGATGAGAAGCAGCTACAGGTATTGGAACAGGGATAATGACAAAACCACCCCACACCTCTACAGGGAGTGGCTGGGCCTAGTTCAGGGGAAACATTGAACTGATAGAAAATTTTAATTTTATTTCTTAGGAGCCAAAAAAACTGAGCACCATTTATTACATTCAAGTGCTATTCACAAAGTAGGAACTCAAAAACACATATGTGGTTAAACTAGGCACAAAGGAGTCACCCACCCACTTCACATAACACCCCTGTGGCTCCTGGAGAAACACAAAGGTTCGGAGCTCCAGAATCCTATCTGCCACCATCCCCTCCCCCACTCAAAAATCTTCAGCACTCCTCCCCATCACCCTCTGGTCCCCCAGTCCCTGACCCCAAAGCCCTGGGTGTGGGGTACAGTGAGGGTGGGTCTCCCTTCTTCAATTCCTCCTATTGTTCCCCAGAAGCCTTATCTGGGCCCTACGTCCTGTCCCCCCTTTACAGATCCCTCCCCCCATTGTTGGCCAGAGGGACCTCAGGCCCACGGGGAGGCTCCAGCTCCTCCTCACCCTCCCACCCCAGTGGTCTATTGTCTGCTGAGGAAGCCAGTGCATGTGACTGAGCCCAAGGGATGAGTGGACACAGTGGACACACAGATGCACAAGGACCCAGGACAGGGCATCTGGACATGGATCTTTGCATGTTTGGCTCTCTCTGTTCCAGCGGCCCTCCCAGAAGTTGGGAGGGGTGAAGGCTCCCTTGGGCTCTCCATTCTTGGGTCTGTGGTTGGAAGAAGAATGCCCTTCTGCTCACTATGAACATGACTTATGACCTCCCAGACAGCAAAGATAAGGAGACCCAGAACCAGGAAGGTGTCACAGCCCCCAGGATCCTCCACCTTCCCATTCTGCCTCAGCCGAACGTGGAGGCCTCAGAAGGAAAAGTATGTCGGGCATTTTGTGCTTTAGTATCTGGGTGTTGGGGGAATGGTGGGAAGTCACACTACACTGGGCTTTCTGGTGGGGTCTAGACTGGAGGGTGGATGGGGGAAAAGAAGGGTAAGTAACTGGGTAAAGGGGAATCAACATCAAGAATCTAGGGCTTTTCAGTGGCCCCAAGCCCTGGGTCTGAGCTGAGAGATGCTGCAACTGCAGGTGAGGGACAATAGCACCATCTTTTATCTGATACCCTATGCCCTTCTCCTTTCCCCAGGCCCCTCCTCAGCTGATTTCTTCCATGCCACTTCATCCCACTTTCCCCCTCTTCAGCCTCCCCTTCCCTCTGCCAAGACAGCAGCCTTGGTGATATAACAAAACCTTTATTCTCAGAAAACAGGGAAAACCAAAATCAAAAACAAAGCCAGTCATTTCTGTCTGGCCCCTGCCCTCCTACCCACCCAATATCCTCCTTTTTGGGGGGACTGTGATGCATGCATAGGGGTGGGAGCTGAAGGAATGTATGTTCCTTGGGCAGAAAGAAGTCCTTTTGGGTCTAGGTACTCTCCTCCAAGTTGGTATCACTCCCAGCCTTGGCCACCCACTCAACACCAAGAGGGAGGAATCTGGAGTGGTGCCAGGATTGCCCTGGAGCTCCTTGAGGACTAGGTGGCAGAGTCAGCACCACCCCCAGGGTCTTCACCAGTTACAGCTCATCTTCATCCAGCTTGGCAAGTCTGGCCTGGCAGGGAGGGGTGTCTGGAGTCGGAGGGACAGGAGGACGGTCACGAGGAGGCTGGGGCATGTCACTGAGGGCCTGAAGGAAGATGCAAGTCAGAGGATCAAAAAAGGCCCTGGGATCTACTACCCTCACTCCTCTCTTTTCAGTTTTTTTGTTTGTTTGTTTTTAGAGACAGGGTCTCATTCTGTCACTCAGGATGGAGTGCAGTGGCATGATCACAGCTCACTGTAACCTCAAACTCCTGGGCTCAAGCAATCTTCCTGCCTCAGCCTCTGCAGTAGCTAGAACTACAGGTGCATGCCACCATGCCTGGCTAATTTTTTTTTTTTGAGATAGGGTCTTGCTGTGTTGCCTAGGCTGGTCTCAAATTCCTGAGTTCAAGCAATCCTCCTACCTCAGCTTCCCAAATAGCTGGGACTACAGGGGAGCACCACCATGGCTGGCTAAATTTTAAAATTTTTTGTAGAGACAGGGTCTCACTATGTTGCCCAGGCTGGTCTAGAACTCCTGACTTGAATCAATCCTCCTGCCTTGGCCTCCCAAAGTGCTGGAATTATGGATGTGAGCCATAGCACCCTGCCTTTTTTCATTTTAAGCCCCTAGCCAAGCCACCTCCTCTTGCCAGATATCTTAGATTATCTGACACTGTCAGTCTGTGAGTTAAACTGGAGGGGAGGAGGGTAAGGGATGGGAAGTAAGAAGGGGCAGATAGAAGGACGGTGGTGGAAGAAAGGAATGATATGAGGGAGAGGGGGTTGGGGATCCTGGAACAAGAGAAGACTTCCCCATTATACCCCGATAACCAGGCAACTCTATTCCTTATACCTGTGCGTCCGGGGGCAGGGGTGCTCTGGCCACCTCTCCTTTGGGCAACAGCAGCAGGGAGGGGAGAGAGCCATTGATGGGTGTGTGTGTGCTGCCCTGGGCCCGGTCTCCAGGCCGGATTCTCCCAGGGCTCCCAACCCCAGGCCCTCCTGGCCGCCCCAGGCTGTTGGTCTGGCTCTCCCGTCTCTGGTACTCAATGGGTGACTGCAATGCTGGGGCAGAGAGAGGAGAAGGAGGGTTACAGCAGAGACACGTCCCTCCCCTAGGGGCTCTGCTTGTGGCATCCTCCCATTTTTCCCTCCCTCTCAAAGATTATCAGCCTACTTTTAGGGGGTTCTGAGTTACCAAATCTTATGTAGTAGTGGAAAAGTGGGGGGAGGTGTCGAGAAGTGTAGTCAGAGGGCAGGGGATGGAGGATGGGAAGTGAGGGATTCAAGAGGTCAAAGGGCTGAGGAAGTACGTGAGGGAGGGAGGATGAGAGCTTCACCGTTGAGAAAGTCACGCTGGGTCTCCAGGATCTGAGCCACTTGCTTGATCCAGGCCTGACTGATTGCAGGGTCTGCAGCCTGCAGGACATAGCGCTGGATTCCACCCTCTGGCCCTCTGGAGGTCAGTGCAAAGCGGCAGGGGTCGCCTTGGAGGTTCCCCTCCAGTCCCAGGCAGCTCACCTGAATTGGCAGACAGGAGACAGCTCCCAGATTCTTCAGGTCCTCTCTGGTTCCTGCTCCCTCCAACGCACCCAAGAGCCAGACATCCTCTAGAGGCCTCTCTCCATCCCAGTTCAAGCCCTTCCTTGCTGCCCCCTCCCCACCTTGATGCTGCTCTTGTACACATATCCAGGCTGTGTTCCACCTCGCATTCCTCCTCCCAGAGCCTCACTGAAGATGACGATTTGCTCAAAGAGGAAGACGCGCCTCTCTCGACCCCGGTAAGAGAGCAGCCCCCCGGCTTCAGGCTCTGTGACCCAGAATGTGTCCTGGCCCAAGAGCTTCCCCTGAGCAGTCAGTTTGCCCTGGAACCAAAGGATAGCAGCCTTTGAGAAAGAACAAGAAGAGAAAAAGGGCAATTCCCTGATCCTCCTTCCCTGCTCTGACACTCCCAACCAACCGTGGCATTAGCCCAGGAGGAGAGAGCTCCCCATAAGGACCTCCAGAGTGTTAACACTGGGGCAGAAACTGGGCACCGGTTTCCTGCCCCATCTCCATACCTCAAATCCCCGCAGTCTCCCCAGGGTCATCATATCATTGCAGCGCTTGGGCACGAAGCACATGACCTCCACAGCTTGCTGGGATGCAGGTGAGAGAGGCGTAGTGTGGGGTGAAGAGAGTCATTATTGGGAAAGAGGGCTCCTCAGCCAGCTGCCTCTTCAGACCGTGTCTCAAACCCAACATGCCACCCCCTAAAAACCAGACAGCTGTAGACCACCCAAGGGACTGGGGGAACCCAAGGGACTATGAGGATAAAGTATACATGGTGTGTCCTGGAAGATTTGGGGAGCCTCACCTCCAGCTCTTCAGTATCCATCCCAGCTCTACTGTAATACTTGAGAAAATCCTAAGACAGAGAAGAAATGCTCAGGAAGGTCATGAGGACATCCTCAGAAGCTCTTCAATGCTCCCCTGAGGACACAGGTGAGGACCTCCAGGAAGTCTGGGGAAGCCTTAAGAACCCTGGGGAGATGAATGAGGAAAAGCCTTTTTCAGCCAGCTGTGTCCCCAGGGAGAAGGTGGTCCTGACCTTGAGCAGCAGCTGGTATTTCATGATCCGCTGCACAGGTTTGATGAGGAGGTCGTTGAGCTGCAGGCGGTGCCCTAGCTGCTGCCGGAGCTCCTGGGGACAGGAACACAGTGGCTATGCAGCCTGGAAAGCCTGCTCAGGCCGATTCTGTCCTCCTTCCCCCGGCAAGGCACCTCAGCCACTGACCTCAAAGTAGTTGTCCCCAAACTCTGACACCACGTGCTCTGACTTGGGCTTATTCTGACAGTACACCACATACATATGCAGCCTGCGCTCCTAACAGGGGTAAGTAACATTTAAGACGGGGACTGCTTGGGTAAGGAGGGGAGGGCACAATTCCAAAGAACCCCACCCATTCCCAAGCCTCTCCCCTCCTAGGCCCCACCCCCCTCAAGCCTCACGTGTTTGATGAATAGCTGAGCCAGCCAATCAGGATCTTTCAAACAGCGCTGTAGTTCCTGTAGGAAATAGCTGAAGGGGTTGGCCAGGAAAGGGAGGTCAAATACATTTCAGAACCCCTACCTCCCCCATACCCCCTAATTTCAAGCTGTCTGCCCTAATATGCTCCCTACAGAACTTCTCCAAACATTCCTTACGTCACAATTGGGCCGCAGTTGGAATACAGAGAGGAGATGAATGCCCCTCCCAGCACCTGGCTCCCAGGGCTCCGCTACTCACTCTCTGTGCCACTCATAGATTTGCTGGATGTTCCCAAACACGATCCTGTCACGGCCTCGTAGACTCTCAGGGACCCCCTGTGCAGCCATGGTGGCCATGTAACCCTGTGGAAAGGTTGGGTTGGAGCATGAGCATGTGGCGCCTGCCCTGGTGGGAACCCACCGTCCCCACCGCCCAGAAGTCCAGGAGCAGAGAGGACTGGGAGCAGGGACAGGGGAGCACCAAGGCATCCCCTGAAAATAGCCCTGGGCAGAGGGAAAGGGCAGGGAGGCCAGGGTGGGGAAGGGGTAAAGGGCGCTACCTCCACAATCTGCCCCAAGTCGTCCACATACATTTTCTCTGTTTCTACCAGTTCACTCAGGACATACCTAAGAATGGGAGGGTGCCCCCACTTCAGAGTCTGGGCACATCCTTCGTGTAGCCAGTTCCTCCCTCCTTCACTAGAAGCCCCTTCATCACCATGGCCAACCTCAGAGGGGAATTCCATCTAAAACGTGAGGGACAATCTTCTGGAAGTTATGCAATTGCTGGGGGTGGGGGGCAGAACACTTACATACTCCTTTCCAGAGCCTTCTTCTTCTGTTCCTCCTCACTCTTGGGGGCTTGGGACAAAGTCTCTTCTTCAGATTGCTGAAATGAAAGAACATACTAGGGTAAGCAAATGAATGCCTCTTGGATGAGGGGAGCCGTCCCAGACCTGTTTCTTCATACCTGTGTTTTATCTTTAGGGCCCTCCAACAACGTTGTCAGCAAGGTCAGTTCTGGCAGCTCCTCTCCTGTGGCTAGAGCTGGCTCCAACATCCAGTTCTGGGAGCCAGAGGTCAAGTGTCAGAGGTCATGGACAACAGCTGAATGTCCCCAGTGACCAGTGCCCCCAACTTGCCCTCTCTCCCAGTGGCCTTCATGGATGTCCTACATCCTTCTGTGGTGTTCCCTGCTCACCTCATATGGTCCCGCCTGACCACCGTCTGCCTCAGTTTCCACACTGAGACAATGTTTGGAATGATCCAACCATCTCCTTAGGCCCCTGACTGGCCCTGGGGGGCCGGGGGAACAGGGGCCAGAGCTGAGGCCAGAGTTGGGGCCAGAGAGGGCAGCCAGACCCGAGGCAGCAGAAGCCGATATACTCCCCTCACTGCCAGCAATGGAATAGGATTCTAAGAGGGGGGAAAAAAAAAAAAGGTGATAGACATTGCTCCAGCTCCAGACTCAGGGTCCCCAAGGAACTCTCAGGGTTTCCTCTCCATAATGCTCAGCCCCTCTCTCCCAGGGCTCACTCTCTTGCCATCCTCATTTGAGTTGGCCAGGGTAGAAAATTCCACCAGGGCACCCTTGGGAGGAAGGACAGTAAACACCTGGCTCCCCAGGCCCGGAACCCCCAGTTACATGTGGAGGTTCCCCATATCCTGAGCACAGCATAGATATGGGGGTGGGGGCAGCCATCTGGGCAAACACTAGAAGCAGGGGGAGGCCATCTGCTCAGCTACAACCCTCCCCCTTCCAATGGGTACAGACCATTCTCTGGGAAGAGGGGGAAGAGCTAAGAGTCCATCTGCCACTCCCAGACCCCTCCTCCAGCAATTGCAGTAATCACTATAGAAAGAAAAGACTTGTGCAGCCCACCTCCCCAACACATGCACAAACCCAATAGAGGGGCTGCTGAGAGTGCATGAGGCTTATCTATGGCTTGGGCTCAGGGACAGTAGAACCCCCTTATTCCTCATTCCTTTATTCCCTTGTCCCTCTTCAGAAGTAGATTCTCAGCAAAAGGATTTGGGGGGAGATAAATGGTTCTAGGCCTAAGGGTATTGTGGGTGGGATTTTCTCATATCCATGAGAAACTACGGGAAAGAGATGAATCCCCTGCCCCTTCCCCAATTTCCTTAACTTGAACTAACGGAAATTTGGAGGCAGTAGGGGTCTTAGAGCTCATCTATCGAGTCACTTTCCTGGAAAACACACATACAGTCTCAAGCTCTAAATCTCTAGGACCAGAGCAAACAGATGCCCTGAACCCCCAGCCCGCCCCCCACTCAACACTGGGCCCTTTCAACCTCGCACTCACCACGTCCCCCCCGGACGAAGCAGCAGCCGCATTTTGCCAACACTTTTCGGATCACACGGGGACAGGCACAGCGACCCCCCTTGTGCCCCCCCCGCATGGCGCCCGGGCCCCCCCGCATCCCCCACCCGGGCCGGCCATGCAGGGGGAATCACGGGGGGCGGGGCGGGGACGGCGCAGGGCGCACGCCCCCCCTCCCTCCTACCCCGGTCCAGGCTGGGGGAGGGGGGGAGGGAGGGGACCCAGAGGAGGTGTCCAGGGGTAGGCGGAAGTCAGGACTGGAGGAGGGTTGGGGGCTCTGGGGAGAGGGCGGTGCGGGGCCCGGCCGCTGAGCCGGGCGGAGAGGGTTTCCGGAGCCCTGTCAGTGCGGGGCCCAGGGTCCAGATGTCCAGTCGTGGGGGAGGGATGGGAGGGAGGCTGGGCCGGGATGCGGCAGCCGCTCCAGCTCAGTCTCTGGCCTCTGGTTGGGGGTGGCTCTAGGCCCGGGTGGGGAAGGAGGCGGGGGCCGACCCCCGAGCCACTGGCGCTGCGCGGGTCCCGGCCGAGCGGCGAGCCGAATAACAGGCCCGGCAGCGGTGCCACCACGGGGAGGGGCCTCTGCGACCCAGCTCCGCCCTCTCCCTCGCGTTCCCTCTCCAGCTTGGGCCGAGTTCCCGCCCCAATCGCCCCTCCCCCAGGCACCACCGAGTTCCCACTGCAAGTCCCCAGCGCCTCTGCCCCTCCTCCGCAGCCTGGGCTCCGCTGCCCCGGGTTCCCCTCCCTCCCTCCCGCACCTCGGGTTCTGACTGCCGAGCGCTGGGGTGGGGGTTACGCCTGGCGGCGGGGTCTGGCCAGGTCGCCCCTCGGCCTCTGCGGTAGACAAGTCAGTGGATGAGGCCTTGGCCTGTGCAAAGATGTCCTGGGGTTGGGGCTGTCCCTGGCCGAGCGGGGGTGGACAAGGCCCCCTGTAGGGCGTGCGCGTACGGGGAGCTATTTGTGGGGAACACAACCCAGGTGCCGCCCTCTCATCGGACTCTTCTTTCCTCCAGGCCCCGGGACTCCAGCTAACTCTGATCACCAATTAAGGCGAAGTCCTGGAGCCTGAGCTGGCGAGAGGCCAGGGGTGGGGCGCGGGGACACTTCGCCTGCGGGACTGACTGAGGTGGGGGACAGACATCGGACTAGAGGGCGAGGAGAAGCGTGGAGGCCTCTGCGATTAAATAGGTCTCATGCAAATTAGATGCGTACTTTATGCTAATAAGAGCAGAATATTTTTGAATTCTCCTCTTTGCACAGGATGGCAAACTGTGCCCCACCCCGCCCCCAGCTTCTTACCGGGCTGCGCAGCCCAGGCGGGAGCCTCACGGTCGCGATCCCCTCTCTGATCTCCCTCCGTACAGTCAGACTCTGGCTCCGTACACCCCGGCCCTAAGGGGCTTCTCTTCGGGGGCTGCTGGGACAGAACGACTATAAGGAACGCGGCCTCCTAGGCAGCCTGGACCTCCCCTTCTCCCTCCTGTCAAAATCCACAATGTTAAAAAAGGGTCTCCCTGAACTTGGCTATGGCCCTCGTAAAAGAATTGATGGATTCCTGCGACTGCCCCACAGAACTCTTGTTTGCGGGTAAATCGAGTTGTGGGGTACAGCCCTCTTGAAGGCCCAGAAAGATCCCGACCCCGCCGCGGTCCCCCTTCCTTACCCCCTCCTGCCCAGGGAGGGCGCATGCGCGCAGCATGCCCCCCATGACCCCCAGTATCCGGTCAGTGCGGCCAGGGGCGGGCCGGGGGCGGTCCGGGGGCTTCATGCTGAACCCCTACCCTGCTCCAAGTTTCAGGGCCGAGGGGGCACGGAAGCTGGGGGGCTTTGAAGCCTGCGCGCGTCCGGGGAGTTGCTCCTGGCGAATCCGGATTCGCCCCCTGCCCGGCTCCGCCCCACTCCCACCCCAGCCAAACTTTGCAAAGGGGGTAGGGTTGTTCCTTTCTCTACAATTGTAGTTCAGCAACAAACAAATCCCTCTTAATCCTGATTCCAACACCGAAGTATGACCGAGGGCTTCGCAGTGTTATGACAGAGCCCATTCAATACATCCCTTTTCCCCAGGTCCCTAGGAGGCAGAGGGACTGGGAAGGCACATGAGGATTTCCCCATCACCCCCTTTCCCCTTCTCAGCAGGTCTCCTCCCAACCCCACCCCACCCTGTCCATGGAACAGAACGGGTGTGGCATAAAGAGTTGCATATTTTACTTTATTTTTATTAAATTAAAAGCTACAGTCTGGCGGCGATTCCAGAACAGGATAAGGAGGCTTCTTATAGGGGGCAGAGAAGAGCAAGAGAAAGACAGAGACACTGACAGAGACTGAGACACAGGAGAGAAAGGACAAGGTCAAGGTAAGAGAATTGTATCTGATGAACACACACAGCTGGCTCCATGGGGGGAAGGGCTCACATTAGCCCAATTCCTCCTTCCCTGTATCCAAGTTCAGCAGTAGAGCTCAGCAGTGCAGCAGTATGTGGGTGGGGTGTGGTGGGGTGGTTCAAGAGACCCTTCCCTCTCCACCCAGGTCCTTTCTCAGCTTAGTTACTGGAGCACAGCACATACCAGAAAAAGCCAAGGGCAATGGAGGGGCCAGGGAAACTGGGAATATGTACATGGGGAGCAGGGAGCAGAGGCTTGGAGATCAGCCTCTGCCAGAAGGGAGTGGCTCACGCTGCACTGTAACACTTGGCCAGCAGGGGACAGGGGAAGGGATTGCCCCCTCCCCCTCTGAACTCCCTCCCCAGTCAGACAGGTCCCCTACTTGTGTGGTGTGGGGGGCAGGGGACAGAGAGGAGAACAGAGGCTTCCATTGGGTCCTAGTAGAGGAGGACAGCAGGGGCCTTGGCAAAGGGGATGTCCTTCAGTCATCTGTGATACCCTTGGCTCTCAGTTCCTCTTGCACCCGGGTCAGGTAGGTGGGGTCCGGGTACCCAAACCTGGGAGCAGAGAGAAATGAGGGTGAAGGTTAGCTGTATGGGCATGCTCATATTACCCACATGCTCACCCTCAGCAGAGGCCTCATTCAAACCCCTCCCACTTTCCCTAGTAGGGGGACCTCTAAACCCAAGATAACTTAGCCCGATTCTGCTTATTTTTGTAGGTTAAGCTGGGCACATCAGGACCAGGTTGAATGTAGGAAAAACTGAGATGGAAGAGATGGCTGAACAGTTTTGAGGTGGTGCTCTCCAGTTAGGAGCTCCCAGAGTAAGGGGGCTGATGTTGTTCCCTCAGTGGAAATGAAGAAAAGGGGAGGGGCTAAAGGAAAGGAAATGAAGAGGTGTCGCACAGCTGGGGTCCCCCTGTGCAGCTGGTCTTGTGGTGGATGTCGTTCCAGGTGATGACATTCGGTCTCCCCGTGGTCATGGACGTGCCAATAGTGAAGGTGAGACGCTGGTCAAATGCCTTGCGGAACAGGGTCAGCACCTTGTTGCCCTCAGGGCAGTCCGGGAGGTAGGCCACCCGTGTGGTGCCAGGATACCGAACTCCTGGGTTTGGGTGTTCAGCCTGAGAGGAAGGGGGAGCAGAGTGGGCAGTAAGCAACTGGACATCCTAAGGCCCAGATGCTAATGGAGGGTCATCGTGGCAAACCTTCTGTCTGTGCACCCCCAGCTAATGCTGACAGGGCAGCAGAAGGCTCACAGCCTTCCACAGGAGAGATTACAGGGCCTGGGCAGCAAGAGCCTGTTTCCGGACATAATCCTTATTGTTAAGAGGTTCTTTCTGCTGTCTCAATCCTTCAAATCTCAATTCAGCAACAAATGGATTCTCAGAAGTGATGGAAGGTAGCTGGTCCTTACTCTCCAGATAACTCAGGAGAAATGTGAAGACTGAGAACAATTTATCTTTCAGACTTCCATTCTCTACCTGAAAACACTCCTAATGGGGAAGGGGAAGGAGGGGATAGGTAAATTCACACCTAATGGGTACGATGCACACTATCTGGGTGAAGGGCACACTTAAAACTTTGACTCAAACTGTACAAAAGCAAATTACATAACCAAAACGTGTGTACCCCCACAGTATTCTGAATTTAAAAAAGAAAACACTCCTAATATTTCTGCCACTGTCCAACCTGTTCTATTTTTCTATTATTCTTCTTTGGAGCTTCCTCACCCCTCTGCAAACCAGAACTGGACATTACTCTTCTCCGGCAGAAAGACACCTGTAAGCCCTTACCTACTCTTGTTCTTACCCTCCACTGGCATCAACCTTTTACTCTCTCATAACTCTGGAATAGATAACACTCCTAGCTCTGTTAGGTTGGTCAGATCCCTTCCTGTTGTGCCTGTCGCACCTGAGCCACCACCTCCACAAATTTACCTCTGTCAAGAATATTTGTCAACATCCACGTTCATCATGTGCAATTCCTTTCTCTCCTATCTGATTTTCATGTGTGCCTTGGGGTCTTGGGGATGGAAAAGCTGGGCTTCAGGGGAACCTCCTAGCCCCAGGGCACTGAGTAGGAAGGCACAGTGGAAGACAGCAAGACTGCATCATATCTAACAAATTCACTTCCCCTCCCCCAGTTTTCCTAGGTCAGAGCTTGGGGAAACCAAAGGGTTAGGGCAGGCTGTGGTCTTCTTACCCCCTGGACACCGGGCGGGAAGACGTACTGGATGACAATGGTGCCGTACTTCTCGTAGCTGGGCAGCAGGAGGGTGGCGTCCTTAGAGACCAGCATCCGCCCATTCTGGGGCTGGTTGCCCACCAGCTGCCCGTAGAAGCGGCCGCACATGGGGCAGGCCTTTTTCACCTGCAGGGCCCGGGTGATGCAGCCCTCGCAGAATGAATGCCGGCACTTCTCCAATGTCTTGGCATTCTGGATCTCCCCCAGACAGATGGGGCAGGTGCTCTCCTGCTCTTCTGCCTCCTCCCGAAGGCGGGGAGGAAGAGGAGGGGGCAGGGGAGGAGGAGGAGGAGGGAGCCCCCGAGCCCCTGGGGGCAGGAGTGGGGCTGCTCGGAGAGGGGGTGGGCCTGGGCGGTGCAGCTCGGGGTGCTCCCCTCCACCCCCCAAAGCCAGGCAGCCCATAAGCTCCCCCTGCCTCTGAGCTTTCTTCAGCTCTTTCTCTGCCTCTTTTAGCAGCCCCTTGAGAGCCTTCCGGGCCAGGTAGAGCCCATTGGGAGGGGCCGGGGGAGGGCCCTGTGGGGAAAGCTGCAGAACATAGATGTCGGAAGTCTCGCCATCTATGAGGATGGACACGCGGTGCTCCTCCCGAAGCCGGGCCAGCCGGGCTGGGGTCTCCTTGCTCAGGAAGTCCCACACAGGCTTGGAGACAGTCACTTTATTCTTGCAGGTGCCTCCACAGGCTGCCATTCTGGACAGGACGAACGACACTGCCCCCAGGGTGAAAGGGACTCAGGGTGGGGGGTCCCCATTTGACAAATATCAATGCCTCCTACTTCAGGTTCCTTCTAAATCCTATGTTACCTCTATTCTCTCAAAGTCCAACCGCCAACCCCTCCCCCAAATTCATTTTCTATCTCCCCTTATCTTCCAAACCCCAGCACCCATTGAAGAGCAGGAAAGTTTCCATGAACTTTATTATCATCTAAGCCAAGCATCAGTGTTGATTCTCCTTTCATTTCTCCCATGATCACAGAAACAATCTGCCCCTCCCCCCTCTGAGTGAGAAATGGGGTCTTTAAAAGGGAGGGAGAATTTTTCACCCTCCTTTTTGCTCACTTTGATCCTGAAGAGCTTAGAATTGGCATGCAGGCTCACTCTCTCTTTCCCTGCTCCCTACTTGTAGGTTGTGCGACCTGGAAGGGCGGAAAGGAAAAGGGAGGAAAATGAGAAACCCCTTCCCCCAATCCCCATAGGCCCCAACCCAGCAGCTCATGTAAATGAGATAGGAACTCGGGTGCAAGTTACTAGGAATGGGATTACTTGGAACATGGAATGGAGGAAATCAATTTAAGGGTGAAAGTTGAGGTTTCCTTGGGAAGGCAGGTACCTGGAAAGCCCATGGAAGGCGATGGCAGCAGAAATCCCTCTATTTCCACACTCAGCTTACCAGGACTGGGAGTGGGGAGGGAGGGGAAAGGGTTATGATGGCAAAAGTTAGCATTTTCCCCAGCCAGCCCAGAAACAAAACTGCTCTTCCATTTCCTCTCTTTCTCCTTTGCAGAATTCCATCCCTAGCCTCTTCCCAAGTTGCTAACATGCTAACCTTCCTCCTCTCTTTCCCAGCTCTGAGACTCTGGAGAAAGCCTAGGGTGCAGATAAGTCAGGAAAGAAAAAACCCACACAGATGGAGGTCTTGCCACCTCCCTCGGATCACATGGACAGGAATATTTCCTATGCTCCCCAACTACTGCCCTGTTCCACATTCCCAAAGAATTAAGCCCTTATTGCCAGGAAGCCTTCCTTGAGAGCTAACTCCATCCCTTCTGCTGAATTCTTAAAGGCTGTGAACAAAGTAGCAGCAGCCCCTGCAATAACAAAGTTCTCCTTTGTCACCTTTATCCCAGCGCGCAGCGCAGCGCTGCCTGTCAGCACCCTAGTCTGGCATTTAGGGAGGGGCGGGGCTCACGCAAGGGTTCGGCTGACGGGGCCCGATGTTTCCCCAGAGTCCGGTCACATTCAGCTACAGAGTTGTCCCCACAACACCTCCAAGTGCAGCTCAAACAGAAAGAGGGGCCAATAGTGTGACCTCAATTTCTTGACTGATCCAAAAAGGAGCAGCTATCCCTTCATGCCTCCATTATAGTCCCCTCAAGGCCAGATGCACCTCGAGATTCATAAAGTGAAAATGGAACCCTATAGCCTCAGCCCATACCGTCTGTCCACGGTGTAACACCACCCCGCCCCATCAGAGGGGACCCAGGATCTAGGTGTCTAGCTCCAAGTCCTGCTGGCAGAGAGAAGGGAGGCGGGGCCCCAGTTTAGGCTGGGTCTGTGATTCCTCTGGGGCAACCCAGGCCGGACACCGGCCAGTCCCTCCCTCAGATGGAGGCCGGCGGCAGGGACAGCCGGGAAGGGCAAGGGTCCCTGGGGGCATCCATTGAGGCACCTCTCCCCCTCCCCCCCACAGCCTCATCCAAGACCCGACCGGGAACCAGCTCCCCACCTCCCCCACTCGCCGAAACCCCCGGAGCCCCGCCGCTGGGTGGGGGTGCACGTCGGCCTGATCGCGGCCCTCGGAACCCCCAAATGGAGGCCAAGGCTGGAGGGTGCTAGAAGATGATCGACCCGGCACGGAGGGGGGCCCCCGGCGCCGCGCGCGGTGGGAGGAAGAGGAGGAGAGGGCGCAGGGGAAGCGGGGGGCGTGCGGGGGCTGCGAGCAGGGTCCGGGGGGCGCGCGGTGGGTGTGGGGGGCGCCGGGCTCACCTACCTCTCGTCAGCGCCGCCATTGCCGGTCACATGACTGAGGCTGTTGCTGGGATGACGGTCCGGACCTTAGCAACAAGGAGGGGAGACCCTGAGAAGCTAGGGGGGGTTGCAAGGGGTGCAGACTGAAGGAAAGGGAAGGAGGGAGGACAGCACCCCCTTTCCTCTCACGGGTGATAATCACCGTTTCCTTTGACCCCTGCTATCCGGGAACCCCTGCCCTTCCGCCCCAAAACAAAAATGGAGTCGCCTTCCCAGTCTTTGGTGGGAGGGGGTGGCGTCATGTAACTGAGGGTAGGAGGTTAAATCCCTAGAGACGCCACCCTTCTCGCTTCCCCCTCCCGGAGGAGCCCTCTCCCTTTCCTTTCCCAGCCAGCTGCGTGGCAGCTTTTGGGAGCTGGTGGTGGTGGGTGGGTGAGTGAGGAGTGTCAGTGGGTATTTGGGGGTTGGAGGGGGCAATTTTTTGAAATCCTTATAGTAGAGGGGCCTTTGAGGAACAATGTGGGATGGGAAGAGTCATAGTAAAAAGGAAAGCACTGGTTCTAAAAAATAAACAAATCCCAGTACTAAACTATTTCAATCCCCTCCCTCATCTCTTGCCTCTTTCCAGATTGTTACCTCCGGTGACCCCCAAAACCTACTCTCAATTGGGTATAGGTAAGTGCCTCTGATTTTTCTTTCCATAAATAGGGATACTGAGGCTGGTGCAGAAGGCAAAGTGAATACGTTTTTTTTTTAAATGGCTTGGGGTGGTGGTGGTGTCAAGTGTACGGTTCAAATAGAGTTAAAAACTCTCAAAGAAAGAAAAAAAAAAAAAGCTCTGTTCTGCTTCCCACATCAGAGCAGTCTCCGCCCCCAGTCCAACTCACTTCCCTGGGGCCACATCAAACCAGCTTTTTCCACCAGCCAAAAGACCTCCTCAGCCAATACATGAAGCTCCCAGACTGGCAACAACCTCTGTTCATCCACTGGTCACTTTCTTCACTTTCCCAGGAAGCCTGGGGAACACTGAATGCCTTCTCTTTTAGCTGGTGGGCTGAGGCCCGCTCACCTTTACAGAGTTGGAGTATGATCAAGCACAGAGCCCTGGGGGAAAAGGAAGGGTCCCATCATCCCACTCTTCCCTGGCGCTCTCTACCTCTGAATTCCCACAAAGTAGAATATGTTGTTATTCTTGTTGTCCCATGTACACCCCTCACAACGTTTTAAGTTCACAGCCATCTGTCCATAAATTCGCATCCTTAGTCAGGGGCCCAACACCTCGAACACCAGAATTCTTCAGCTGGTCTCTGTACCCCGAAGCACAAGCTTCCTCAGAAAAGTGAAAAGAAAAAGGCATTTTTATGGAGGGATTTGAATAATTTATTTTCTGTATTGTGATGGTAATGGGAGTAAATACACAAGATTTTTTTTTTTATTAATAAAACAAAAAAGAAGAAAAACAGAAGCAACAAATGAAGACCATACTGCCCATGATACATCAGCCATGTGGTAAGAATACCCATTTCCAAAGAACAACCGTTGCTGGTGTCACAGAGTTTTATTGCATTCATTAGGGGAAAGGCAGAGGGTTGGAATGAGAAAGACCCATCAGGTAGGTTTCATAGGGGCTCCTTACTGGGGACTCCTCTTGCTACCTCCTTTGGAGCTAAAGATGAAGGGGAAGGAGGGCTTCTCCATTAGATCTCATGACTTCTCGTGAGATAGATCAGTCCAGCCAGATACAGAGCAAAGCAGCTTTGCATAGCTGCAGGCCAGATGCTGGTGGCCCATCTTTATGTTAAAAAAAATGTGGAATCCTCAAAGGGGATGGAGGGTAGCAAGAAGAATGGGTACCTTAGCCTCAAAGGCAGCAGCGGGGAGGGGAGGACAATCTGTCTCATCTCATCAGGGTCCTCTACATTCTGAGAATATCATGCATCAACTTAACTATCTTTGGAGGGGGCCGGGTGATCGAGTTATGGCTCTGACTCCTCTCTGGGGGTGGAGAGTGAAGATGACAAAGAAGGCCATCTGTCCCCTGGGAGACACAGTAGCAGTATAAGACAGGACAGAAGAGAACAGAACAACAATAAATCCAACTAGAAAGAGACTTTAAGAAGGGGTGGGGAAAGGAAGTGTGCTAGGCACACTATCCAGGGAGTAGGGGAAGTTCCCACACTTGAGACCTCCATCCTCTTGAAATGACCAGAACTGATTCAGGTAAAGGTAATCCTTCACCCTTTTTTTTAAGGGTATTCCCTTCTGCTGGGAATAAACCTTGGGAATGGCTAGACAGGAAGAAAGCAAACTTAACATGGGGAATGAATCTTACAGCCCCTGGCCCACCATCCCAGTCTCCAGAACTGGCCACATCCCCACTGAAGGGTTCCAGGCCCAGGAGGTGTGTGAGGTCCCGGTGAAGAGCAGCAATAGTCAAACAGCTTCATCCAGGCTTGAATGCTTTTGGCCATCTCTGGGCTCCTGTGCCCAGTACAGGTAGGTGGGGGTGGAAGTGGGGTTAGAGAAGAGCTTAGTCAGTCCTTGACAGAGATCCTCTCCAGTTCCCTGCATAATCACAAGAGTCCTCTTAGGTCCCACCTCCATGAGGTGCCAGCCTGCTGACCATTCTCCACCCAACCTGTGTGTGTAAGATCGGCCATATTCCATGATGTGTGTGCATGCCTGCACCCACATCTGTAGTATCTTCAAAGTCCTCCATCCTGGGGCCTACCAAGAGGGAAGCATGCCACAGTGAGTTCTAGTTCTATAAAGTTATCAGCAAAATTCAGACACCCTTAGTTCATCCCACACAGCAAAGTGCATCCAGAGTAGCTGCTTAAGCCAGGTCCATCTGTCCAGTCAGGTCCTGAAGATGGCAAACAACCCCCTGCCCCCAGCTCCTGTTTTATAGAAACAACAGGACATTTTACAAAGAGCAAGGCACTTGGGAGAGAGTCAACAATAACACTCTAATGAAGCAAGCAGCTTGTTTGGGGGAGAGGGAAAGAGGGAAGAAAAATGGACAAAGGGGAGAAAGGACAATGGATTTCTAAGGTCCAGAAAGAGCCTACTCAACAAGATGGAATTACTTGGATGGATGAAGGCTGCAGCCTGAATTTAGCAAAGTGGGAAGAGAAGTAGTGGCTAGAAAATCCACAATTCCCTCAAGCCTCTGAGAGCCCCACCACCTTGAACATCACAGAGTCAGGCAGTCTCTTAGGCAAAGATGTTGCTAATAAAATCCAGGAATCGCTTAGCATACTGCTCGGGATGGACAGTAGAGATCTCTGCCCCAGCCTGTGAGAGGAGGTATGGAACAACGTGTCAGGCCACCTCACCATATGCCCCCATTCTCCACCCTCCAGTCCACCCCAAACCATTTCCATCCTTTTGCCACCCCATTGCTCTGGCACAAGAGGCTCTCCCTTCCCAAAGAATAGTCAAGACAGGAAAGGCAAGGGTTTGGGGAACTCTCACCCCATGCTTGACAGTTTTGGCTGCATGAGCTGCTTTCTTCTTGGCATCATACTGTGTCAAGATGTCAATGAGGCCCATGAAATATACCTCCTTCTGGGGGGCTCCTAGGGAGAGGGACCAACAATGAAGAGCAGGCATAGTCCCAATTCCCTTTCCCCAGGAACCAGTTTTGTTTTAGAAAGCTAGGCAGGCTGTCCACCCATCACCCTGGTCTCTGTTCCCCAAGGACAATCCTCCCCTTTCCACCTTAAATTGTCCAGGATCTCTCACCCTCAGCACTCCGGATGGCGTAGACATCAATGAAGGACTCAAATTCTCCAGGGCCCAGGGGCCGATGGGACTGGATGTAGCCTCCGATGCCCTCCGGGGAGGTGCCATAGGAGCCCACCACAGCAGGAGGTCCAGTCAGGCCACAGTCCCCATCCCCCTCTGACTCATCCTCCCGAACAGGCCCCTCCTCCTCTGGTTCAGAGCCCCGAACGATGTCGTGGATGCCCAGGAGAAGGCTGTAGTCCATGATCTTTAGCTGCACTAGAAACTGAGACCCATTGACAAATCAGACACCCCACATCTCCCTCCTCAATCCCAGGTGCTACCCTTATTACCTCCATTGCTGAATTTCTGGGGCCCTCCTGGGGAAAGGAAGTGTAAAATTTGAGGTTGAGGGTATACCACTGCCTTTTAGTGCCTAAATGTCCTGGTATCAAAATCATCCTTTTAGCTCATTCCAGCCACCCCCGCCATAGGTCACCTTTAGAGGTTTTTCATGTCTCATACCCCACGCCCCTATATGCAGAGGACCCAAAGAATGAAGGGAATATGGTGCTCCTTCATATTATGAATGAAAGAGACAATTACCTTGTGGGGAGCACCAAAAAGGAAACAAACAAAGCCATTTCCCAGAGCAACCAATCATCACCTCCACATCTCTCTTTAGCTTCTCTAGAAATACTTTCTTCTCTTCTTCACCAATATAAACTTTCTGGTTCTTGTTGAGAAAGTCCATATCCTTAAGAGTGGGCAATTCTTTAACCTAAGAACAAGTAAAAGGACATCTTGGGAATACATCCCTTCCCCAAGGTCTCAACCCTTCTTTTGTCTAGGGCTCCATCTCCAACTCAGTGTCCCCTAGAAGAGAGTGATCTCCTCTGACTCCACACTATGATGCTTCCCCAGAGTCTGTTCTCACCTCCAAGGACTTCCCCACACTCAGTCACTGCAGCTGTACCCCAAATCACATCCCACCACTTTCTGCTGATGGTTTTAAGTCAAGACCCTCCATGTTGACTTTTCCTTCTTTTTCAGCAAAAACTGCTGCTTGAATACAAGAGCCCAGAATGGGAGGTGGAGGGCAAGCATTTTGCTTTTAAAGTCTGGCATCCTTACCCATCCCCAAACCTTCCACACAGACTAACCCATGCCGGGGACAAAGCAGCTATTCCCACACTGCACCTTCCAAACAATCCCTGATCAGTAGCAATTTATATCTCTTTTATTTTCAGTGGTTTAAAAAAAGAACAAATAGCTAGTGATCCCTATCCCCATCCCAAGAGAAGAAGAATACCCTCTTCATCTGAGAGGATCCCTTCATCTGTCCTCCCCATCCCTCACCCTATCACCTCAAATTAGTATTACCTTTTCCTTATCACTGGCTTCCCGGGACACTAGGGAACCCTGTGGAGAAACCCAAAGACCAAGTAAGCAGAGTGGCTAAAAGAACAGTGAAACCCAGCTCCTAAGGTGAGTACTCAAACCCACAGCCTTCTT